GAGTTAGGCTAATAACCGAGTCGATCACACCTATCGTCGAGAGCAAGGCCGTGGCGAAGCCGTGATCGAGACAAGTCGAGGGAACGCAACACCCGATCCTTCATCACGCGCTCCCTGCGCTCGCCGCCTATCTCGCGCGCGTGTACCTCCCGCATTCTTAAGCCTCCGAGGCTTAGGTCCCCGCCCGCGTCCGGACTCCACTCGCGCGCCCATGTGCGCCACGCTATCGCTGAAATCATCGTGCGCGTCCCGGCTACAGCCCGCGCCCCAATCGCCTACGGCGCACCCTACCGCGTCCGCTACTCCGCGCGTCGCCTCCATCGCCCGCGGGCTCCGATCACCTCCTGCGCAACCCCGTGCGCCCACTGCGTTGCACGTACCATCCACGCCTGCAGACTGCTCACCCGCGCATCTTTCGCGCGCCATCGTTACGCCACCGAACGCCATTGCGTCCCAGTCGACGTCCGCGACTTGCCCGCCTATCATGCACCCTCGCACATCATCCTGCTCTGTCCAACCGCGCGCATCATGGGCCGAACCACGCCATTCGCCCATTAGACGATCACCGTCGCCCTCCTTGTTGCCGTTCGTCTCCATCGGTTCGGGCCATGGGTCCCAACCTCTCATCCTCTCGCAATCTTCTGCCGGTATCCACCATCTATCTTCAACCCATCGCAAACCACGCCTTCTAGCCTCCTTCTTTCGTGCTCGCCTTTTCTTCACACAAGGCTTGCACCAACATTGACTTGCTTTTCGAGCCTTTGCTTTACGTCGTCTTTTGGCCATCCGTTTCCTCGCCTTCGACTTCAGCTTCGGGCCACACCCTTTCGGCCAATCTCGTACACATGATGGCCGGTATATTGGACTTGTCGGCTCCTCCAACATGTTCTCCAGCCATATAACGAGACCATCGTCACCTTCCTCGTCGGACTCGTCTGGGTTGATGATCACTTCTGTATCACAGGGCAGCAGCGTACGCGGGCAGCACGCGCGCGCGGGCGCTGGGCTGACTGGGGCAGCGCGCGGAGACGTCTTGGGAAGCAAGAAAAGGAGCCTTCTAGGAGTCTTTTGAGCTAAAATTTCTCTAGATTCCCTACTTGGAGTCTTCTAGAAGAAATTAAATATCTAGGAGACGTCTTGGGAAGCAAGAAAAGGAGCCTTCTAAGAGTATTTTGAGCTAAAATTTCTCTAGATTATTCTTCCCTACTTGGAGTGCAAGTCAAGACACAAGATCCCCTAGAATTTTAATTTCCTTATTGCTTTATGAGATCTAGATTGTTTAGGTTAATTAATATTTTATTGCTTTATTAGAGTTATAGTTAGATTAGGAATAGATCTAGTTAGTGCCTATATAAAGGCCCCTTCGCTCTTGTTATTTTTAATAGAATGATGAATTGAATCTTGAATAGTCTTAGTTAGTAGTTAGTAGAAAAATCTGAACTTTTGTTCAAACACTTTGCTTTAGTTTTTCACCAAGAATCTATTGCAATTTTATTCGTTTCAAGAGGCGCGGTTGTGGCTCGAGAAGCACCTATCGGCGATTCAAGGTGCGGGCAAGCGGCTTATCGGCAATCGAGACACGCGATCTTCATCACACACACTGCGCGCCTACGCACTGACCTGTGGTAGCACTGGCTGCTGGGCACTGGCTACGCACACGCACTGCTGAGCGTGCGCATGTTGTCTGTGTGCCCGCAGTGACTGCCGGCCGTACCAGGCGCACGCTATGTGTGGGCAGGCACTACGGTCGGCCTTTCGTCGGCCGTCCGACGACTTCCTCCGGCAACCCCATACGACTGGATATAAAATGACTTGAAAAGATTAAATATGCATAAATTGCTCGGGACTTGCCGGTTAGAGTTTGAAATCACTCGGGAGGGCTTATATAGCACCTCCGAATCATTTTTGCTAAAAACATGGACTGAACGATATGATTACCACATAACCTTGCTATCATGAACATAAAATAACGTAAAGAGGGTTAACACGAGTGTACCCTTCCAATCGCTCGATGAAAATATTGAAGTGTGCGTGAGCTTGTTCGTGTGTTCGGCGTGCGTGTGCTTTCCCTCGGCTATGGCTAGGTATAAGTCCTCTTCTCCCAATATTTTTCTATCTTTTTCTCTTGAATTATTACTACCTTTCTCTTGTTCTTTCCTCCCAACTTTGCTTACGGTACTTGCATGAGAAAATGGGGAAGCTCACGACTTTATAAGGTTAAAAGGATAAATGAGGAGTAAAATGAATTAATATTATGATGCCACCTTTCCTTAAGCACCTAGGTGAGTCATCTTACCAACTTGCACCACATACATATCCTAGGTTCATTTAGTCTCGGCAATTAAAAGGGATTTAACATGAATTAATACAACTTGCTCAATATTTTATTATTTCATGGCAAGCTCTCAGTAATTAAATCTAATGCTCACGCAAGACTTAAACTTATTGTGAAGAAATTGATCCAACACTTATTCTTGTACTAATATATGCTACTTAAGAATTTCCAAGCATAATACACTTGGCTAGGGTTTAATCTTGACTGAATTTACTCGATTTCGGTCGAGACTTGACTTTGCCGATTAATTCGAATATTCTCGATTTTAAATAATTAATCCTGACTAATAATGTCCGTTTATAAAATAAGCATTTCGGGAACTAATTATCGAAACTAACACGGTTATTGAAAATAAATTAAACCGAATAGATCTTCGACTTAAAGTCGAACTTATACTGAAACTTAATAACTGGCTTGAAACTTAACCTTGACGATTAATCAAATATTCTCTATCCAATTAATACATCAATACTGGATTAATCCCAACTCACTGATGTCCATTTATTAAATAAACAGATTGAGATTAATTATTATCATTAACTCGGTTAATAAATGAAATTAATCGGATATACTTTCGACTTAAGGTCGAACTTGGAACTTTAACTAGCTGAATAACTTAAACCTAAACATTGACATGAACATTTATTAACAAAGGCTAGCTTATATTTAAAAGCTAGTATCTTTCCTTTATTAATAAATTTGGGGGCGTTACAGCAAATACACAGTCAAATCGGCCTACAAGCTGCTGGAGGAGAAACTGATCAATGACAAAGGTCAACTTGGCTCAAGCAACAATTGGAAGCTGGAGAGAAAAATCTGGAAGAAAATGTGGGGACTACAGGTAAAAAATAAAATTAAAATGTTCCTATGGAGATGTTGGCATAGGTTCCTGGCTACCAAGTACCAATGATCAGCTTAAAAAAAGAGGAGGGAAGGAGGACAGCATATGGAGCCTATGTGGAGAGATGGAAGAGGACCTGGAGCACATCCTGTTCAAGTGTAGAAGAGCACAAAATGTATGGAAGATAGCAGGAGTACAATGGGAAGGGCTGAAGAAAATAGAATACTCATTCCAAATGTGGTGGAGAGAATTGTGTCTGATTCAAAAGGGCAACTGCATAAAGGAACCCCACTTGGTTTCCACCAATTGGTTTTGGGATGGAACCCCACTTGGGCATCATATGGGCTTTTCCCTTCTTTTGGTGCGCTTTATGTTAGTGGGACCGTACTGTTTTCCCCAGTTTCTTATATGGTATCAGAGCCGGTTCTATTGGGATCGTGCGATGACGTACCCATTTATGGGAGTCTGCTTCCCCACGTACCCGTTTATGGGAGTCTACTTCTAGTAGGCTTGGGGCACCCAGTTGGGCTTGGGCTTTTCGCATCCGTTTATGGGAGTCTGCTTCCCCACGTACCCGTTTATGGGAGTCTACTTCTAGTAGGCTTGGGGCACCCAGTTGGGCTTGGGCTTCCGAAGGACTCACAAGTGATGGGGCGTGTTAGAATATCACTTATGAGTTATCCTACATCGTTCATACACGGAAAATAGACCCACCTCACAAGTCTAATGGGCTACTCCTCCTTCCACCAATTGGTTTTGGGATGGAACCCCACTTGGGCTTCATATGGGCTTTTCCCTCTTTTGGTGTGCTTCATGTTAGTGGGCCCGCACCGTTTTCCCCTGTTTCTTACAGAATAGAACTCACAACTTATATCCTTTGGTGGCTGTGGAAGACCCGAAATAATTGGATATTCAAAAAGATTTGGGTTGGGGAGAAAGAGATTGCAGATGGAGCAATACAAGAATGGCAGGAATTCCAAGTTGCCCAAGCAATTACACAGGAGAAAATCTGAGCTTGATAGGAAGGAGCTATGGTAGGTCAATCTTGTTATTGACAGTGCCTAACTCCTTTGAAGGAACAGTATCTTTATTGTGGTTGCTCTGTAGGGCTGGTTAATTCTCTGATAGACTTTATTTTGGTATAGCTGAATTTGTATTTGTATATATGGTCTGTATTTAGGTCAGAGTGGTATTTTGTATAGGGTTTAGTTTGGTTAAAAAGGGGATGGAAGTTGATGCTTTACATCCTCCTGTTTAGATACACTTCAGTTGGAGTGTCCTGGTTTATGTATAAACTGCTGTATTCTATGAGTTTTGTAGTAATAATATTTATCCGTTTGAGAATAAAAAAAATACTAGTTTCACTCACCATAAAATCTAAAAAATGACCACTAATTTGTAATATGCATGTGCTTTAAAAATCATCATTTTGTAAATTGTATAATAATAGCATATTGGTAGTAAGTATCTCACAGCAAATGATGACAAAGCAATGCTATGGCTACGCTCACTCAAGGTAAAAAGACAAGTAAAAATAATCAAATCTGTGTATTACTCGTGTTTTAAGAGGCGCATTCACCGATATAGCACACCACTGTTGTTCTGTTCATCTTTATAATAACATCACTACTACCAATTTCAAGTATTATCAGCAGTCTAAAATCCAGAGAAAGGGAGAACAGATAATAAAAATGACATTTCATAAAAAAAGAAGAGAACCCAACTGTGCAAAACTCACAAAAACAAAGCAAACTTGGCTCAAATCTCAGGAGGAGGGACAGTTGACTTCAAGAGAGGCTGCAAAGCCTTGACAACAATGCTCATATTCGGCCGGAACTCGGCTTCATACTGCACGCACAATGCTGCAACAGCCGCCAGCTGGATCACAATACATCTGCGCATTCAGACTCGTTTCCCTCTTTCCAATATTATAAAATAATAATAAAAGGACAAAGAAAGAGAACCTTGGCAACTCCTTTTGAAGGATACTCTCCCTTTAGTTTCGGATCAACACATTGCTTCACTTTGTCCTCACTCAGCCTTGGCGTGGCCTAAAAAGAGCACAAAATTTCTCAATTTAAAAAAAAAAACGAATAATAACATTAAAAAATCAAGCATGTTCTCACCCATGTAACGAGACTCTGCTACCCACGAGGCATGGTGTGATCAACAGGCTTTCTTCCAGTCAAAAGCTCAAGCAGAACAACCCCAAAGCTATAAACATCACTCTTCTGTGTCAGCTGACCTGTCATAGCATATCTGCAGAATATTCACAAAGCCACTACATTTACATGGATGACACCAGGTTCTACTCACAACTAATTGCATATCAATGTCGAAACAGACATCATGACAATGTTTACTAAACCTTATTGCAGCATGTGTTCTCAACCTTATCTAAAACAGCCACAAGCAGCCTTTTCATCATTTCGAAAAAATGGCTTACAAATCAAATCGTCCAAGTTCACTAGGAGGCAGCAAAGCATATATTTTGGCTACTGTATCTCATGAACTTACTTTATCAGCTATTTAAAAGAAAATTGCTTTTTCATTCTGTATCTACTGGAAATTGGCATCACTTATGTTCTTGAACATTAAATTTCACAAAAAATTATCAGTACTAACTTTCAGATACTTAAATATCTGAATCCAATGTTAATATCAATGTTAATATCTGAATCCAATGTTAATATCAATGTTAATATCTGAATCCAATGTTAATACCATGCTGAGACAGGAACTGAATGATGGAAGACTATGATTCCATAATTTAAAATGTCTGCAGTGTGAGACAAATCTTTGCAGTACCTTGACTCAAAATTGTGAATAAGACAATTGTGTCTATCAAGAATCATGAAAATAAACTTCAGTTTATATCCTTGACGCAATCTTTACTCAAAATCATGCAGGGATCTATCTAACATGAACCAATTACATTAAAGACAGATGATACTTCAGACTTGCGTTTAGAGGAGAAGAAAATTAAGTTGAGAGACATTACTCTGGAGCATGATAACCAAAGGTTCCCAGAACTCGGGTAGAATGAAGACGGGCAGCCATGTCAGGAGCCTGATTTGAAAGGTTGAAATCCGCAATCTTGGCTTTGTAGTCTTCAAAAACTAGTACATTGCTGGATCTGATATCTCTGTGGATTATTGAAGGCAGGACCTTCTCATGCAAATATTCCAATCCCCTGGCAGCATCAACCGCAATTCTTACCCGTTGCATCCAGTCAAGTACAGGCCCAGGCTGTGCCCCTTGCACTCCTTTCCTGCCTGTAATTGAAAAATAAATAAAAAGCCAAATATAATATTAACTCCTGCTAAAACATCCAAGTTAAAAAAATGCTAGTTGAATGACAGATTTATCCATGTACCATGCAAAATGTCATGGAGAGATCCCATGGTTGCAAATTCATAAGCCAACACACGTAGATCGCCATCTACACAGTAACCAAGCAATTCAACAAGATTTTCATGCTTCAGTGTTGATACCATGGATACCTATGCAGAATTTTATCATACTCAGAATAAAATCATTAAAATGATTTAAAATACTAAGAAAATGTAGATCATATTCATAAATATTCTGGATATACCTGGGTCAAAAACTCCACACTGGAATCAGGCTCAGATGACACATCAAGCTTCTTGACAGCCACCTCATTTCCATTGTTCAGTTGCGCAAAGTACACTCTTCCATAAGATCCTTCACCAATTAATGCCTTCGACCCAAAATTGTCAGTTTTCTCTTTCAGTTCCTCTATAGATAGAGCAGGCACCTCAATAGGAGGTACTGCCTTCTGAACCTCATGCTTCATTGGAGCTGAAGCTTTAGAGCCTCTTTGATTTCCTGGTATTGTGACAAAAATTATAATGCAGAAAATGAACAATCAAATTAAGTTCTTAATTGTGATAAAGCCAGGAGACAAAGATGCAAAGGGTTATGGCGCAACAACTACAAGTGTTCAACTTTCTTTAAAACAAATAAATCACATGGCATATCAATATTAAATGCTAGAAAAAGTGATTAATAAATTAAACGATAAAAAAAAAAGCTGAAGTTAAAAATAAAAGGCTGAAGCAACATAAGAATTGATTCAAACATATTAAGATTAAAATTTAAAATGCATCGATGAGTGGGAATCCTCATCTCCCACGGTGTTGTAATCGATGCAATAAACGTACATGATATGATTCACTAATTATAGGTATCAGCAAAAATAGATGCACAAAAGTTCACCTGAAGATCATCTGTCATGAAAAAATCATTAAAAACAGTAGGAACAAGAACTTGTTAAGCCACTACACAACGGTGATAGAAAAAACAAGGCCAGACCAAGGACACAAGACATTTCTCCAGAAAGAATTTGCTTGTACATATAAGTTTCTCCAGTTCGATATATTGCACTTATCCACAAACTAGATAGAACTCGATGGTTAATCAACATTATCTTTATATAGTGAGAAAAAACCCTCATATCTATCTGTCTACACTAAAGTCAAACCAAACAAACATAAATGAATTGATTGATTCCACAAGCTGATTGTAAAACGACGGATGAAGATGCTCAATGATAGAGTCAAGTAATCAATTCTTATTAACAACATTAATTAGTTTTTTGATAAAAGAAAACTGACCACCACAACGAAAGAGACAGATATGTCACATATTGCATTAATAATTATCATCTATCACATATATAATACATTTAAATCAAATTACGGTCTCTCTCTTTTCTCAACTTCCAACTTTTCATGCATTACATCCACCCAGTGATAAAAGTTAATCTCATGGAGGTGATTGTTCCTCCCACTGCTGGCAGTTTAAAAGGGCATATCATAAAAACAGAACACGACATTTAGTACTTAAAGGTAGTAGAATGTTGATAGTCATTATAAATTAAGAGCACAGATAATTACCCAAGTACATAAATTAACAACGCTGCAACAGGATATAATCTAGAAAAGTTTAATATAAAATGTTGTGTTGAATCACCCTCAAGTGTTCCACAAGCTAGATTCCGACTCTCCATTCTTTCCAAACAAAGATGTGAAAAGCTATCTAGTTTCAGAACATGTTTCCCGAGCACAACCTTCTATTGAAGCAAATTATGAATGACAAAACCTATTGCTCAACCACTTCTTATTTAAAGTCAATAATAATAATAATAATAAAGGAACTTACCGTTTGCACGATCAAGAACTCATATTGTCCATTTCAATATTACACAATTCAACCAAGCATGCAAGCAAAACAATATTCAGTGCCAAAAACTTACATTTTAGAAGTAAGTAGTTATAAAGTAGATATACTTGATATATAAAGTATTTACCATCAGCATGACTGGTTGGGCTCTTCAAGTGCTCATTTTCATGGGGCTGGTAGGACTCCTCTACTTGACAGGTGCAACACAACCACCTCCGCATCCTTGTTCTCATTGTCAAATAAAGATGGCCTTCAGCACTCTTTATATCCAAGCGTACAAAGTAAATGGAAGGAGGTGCCTGAGCCTAGTAAAGTATTCGGTAGAATGAGGAAAAAGGAAGAACCATTACAAGATTTATATGTCACACATAACCATGTCTTATACATATTGGTGCAAACACATGCACCAAAAAACTACATAAGACATTGAAAATATTATAAGAGCTTCAATTTCAGACAACATTTAAATGCATCTTATGATCATATCAGCGACCTATGGAAACAAACAAAGATGAAAAATCACAAGAAGGTTGCACTCATTAATCTTAACGTCTAGAAACTTCAGTGAACAAGCATTAGTCTGTGTCCTGACAGTATAAACCACTAGAACATAAATAACGACTCGATAAACAAATTGTTTTCAAAATAAAACAGATAACTAACCACATGAATATCTATGAATAAACTTATGAATTGTTATCTCATGGTGTGACAGAAACTCAACAATTTTTCACCCATACAATGTGACATGGGGATTGTCCTCATATCCGAATAGCAGAAAACTACTGCCAGTGCCCACATACCCGACAATAAATGGTTCTTCACAATCATCAACAAAGATATTCGTTCACAGCTGTCCAACAACCTTTCAGTAACAACATAGTTCTAGCTTTTTTGTAATCTAAAAGAAAGGATGGTACATCGGTCTTTCCATAACCCCAATGCTATAGCCCGTAAACAGAAAACTAACACACATGGATAATTAAGCTAATATGAGAAACGCGTCATACATATCATACAAAGCCTAAGATCAGATCATATATTACCCAAATAACTCATAGATTAAATCATTTCTAAAATGAATATAAATAAAAGAAGAAAAGGGAAAAGAAAACATAGAAAATGAAGGGCCAGACCCAGAACCTTATCCTCACATCAGAGATTCTGACAGAACTACAGTGACAGCTCGCATAGGGCTAAGAATCTCAGAACAAAATGGCGAACACAGGACATATATTAATCATAACAACTAATCATGGTAACATAACACGTAAATTCAGATAAATCTCAGCCCATATCAAAAGAAAGAATTCCATAATTCCAGAACCGAGGATAATAATGTTATACGGAACTCTTACCACAAAACCACGGCCATTGCTATAACTTCCATCTATCGCCATTCAGTAAATTTATGGATAAACAAGTATAGACACAACTGACGCACAGAGAAAACAGATTATCCAAATAAAGAGAACAAGATGCAAATAAAACGAGACCCAATTGACAGAGAGGAAGAGGAGTCGAATTCAGATTACAAATCAAAAGCAATAATAAATAATAAAAGCCATAGCAGAAGAGAAAAACAAACCCAAATTCATGGGCCTCTTTTTGTTATTCTTTTTTCCCCAAGCTTGCCCTGAAAGTAATAATAACAAATGAGATCGGAGAAAAATTGGGGTGGGAGGACAGGTGAGCGAACAGCCTGGAAAAACAAATAAACCGACGAGTATGTGTGTTTGTGTGCGTGAGGGAGAGATTTTGTCCAGCCAGAAAGATGGACGGTGGAGTGCAGCAGTGAAAAGCAACGTATTTTTTTAACTAACTTTATTTTTTTTTTTTTAACTTTTTTCTATTTTCAAATAATATCAAATCTCATCACATAAAATAAAGAGTACAATCAAAAGACTCATTAGCCCTTACAATGATAAGAACTGGAGAACCACACCATCAAGGTGGTCTAGATCCAAAACACAACCAGTACTAGAGGCATAACCAAAGTTATGAGACCTAAAGCACCCACTTAAGCTAACACCACAACACAAAGAGCATGTTTGTTTATAAGATTTTTCAAAGAAATTTCAACATTTTAACTCAACGACTTTTTTTTTACTCAACTTTAACTCAGCCCCCACTATCATCAATATTATCAATATAATTAAATAATATCAATCAATCATTCATACACACCACATCAACCTTAATTCACTATTCATCCACTCACATTATTTTAACTAACCATCACATCACATCTTCTCTCATATACTTTTACATCAAACTAATTTTAATTATTTTATTTTAAATATTATTTTAATTTACTCACTAACAACTAACCATACCACATTTCAAAATTACCCAAACCAAACCAAAAAATCCAAACAAACCCAAAAATTTTCATAAACAAACATGCTCAAAACCACCCAGACCTAACATCACACAAACTAAACACAAGAACATAAGAATACAAGAGCAACAAACAAAACAGATTCAACATCCAAGCCACTGATGTAACGCCCCAAGTTTTATTAATAAAGGAAAATACTAGCTTTTAATTTTGAGCTAGCCTTTGTTAATAAATAATCATGTTCATGTTCAAGTTCAAGTGATTCAGCCAGCTATGTTCCAAGTTCGACTATTAGTCGATGTGTTATTTAATTTGATAACCGAATGAGTTTTCAGATTTAATTTCGATTCATTTAATTAGTTAATGAGTTCGGAATTAATAAGCCAAGTTGACGAACTATTCGAAATATTAATGTTCGGATTAATCGTCTAAGTTAAGATAATATTCGAATTAAGTTCCGAGGTCAAGTTGTAACCGAAAACGAGTACGTTCGGTTAAGGTTACCATATATGAACGTCCTCGTTCCTATACAGCGATGCGTTCACATTGGTACACCGCTCATCATTAATTAAGTAATGGTCATTAACCCTTGCTTAATTAACTTAATCCATGTTTAAGCTAATTAACCATAATTAGCTTAAAATAATCATAATTAGCTTAATGTTAATGATGATTAATTAACATTAATGAGGATTAATTTAAAGTTAATCATGTTTAAGGTAATCATGTTTAGCTTAGCACATAAGCACGTTTAGCACGCCCTTAGCACGCACTTAGCGCGCCTAAGCCGAGCTTAAGGGCCGTGAGTTAAGATCTTCCAACTCTTCACGTGAACAATTATCCTTACTTGGACACATGGAGAGTTAGTAGTTCCTTGAGCCATGACTAAGCTAGCAAATGGGTAAGTACACCAAGTGCCACCTAGTGCCTTATATGCACGGCACTTGGCGCTCGACCATTAGGCCGAGACTTTTCAACCCAACTTCATCTCATTTTACCGCCTCTATAAATCTGATGTTGGGGAGTAAGATATAGCTTATTACATAAGCTATACGTTCAGCCAATAATTAGTATAAGTTAAGCAAGTTTAAGACTATTAAGTAGATACGCAAGCACGGGAAGGAGAATCATGCCCGTTCTTGGGAAATTCTCCGAACACTTAAGAAGGTAACCTTGTTTTCAGCATCCTTTTATGTTAATTAGATCATGTTAAATTAAGTTTAATCAGCTCATGTCAAGAAATGCAAGAAAATGTCATAAAGGGTTCGGTTTTGGCCATATAGGTCATGACCGAGTGATGTTTAGTTCTATTCGGATAACACCGAGTAACTCATGCTTATTTGATCATTTTGGGTCAGTATATGTTCAGCTTTTTAAGATAGGTCGAGACAAGTTATGGTTTTGTCCATGTTTTGGCCTAAGGAAGTCGGCAGCACACGTAGTGCATGCCCACGGGCAGTGGTATACCCTTTCCGAGTGATTTTAATGTTTAACCGACAAGTCCCGAATAATTTATGCATAATTAGTCATGTTATGTTTAAACATGTGGAATCATGTTAATGTTGCCGGAGAAAGTAGCCAGACGGCCGGCGAAATGCCGACCGAGATGCCTACCGCACGTAGCGTGCGCATAGGCGCACCCGGCAGGTCCAACGAGTAAGCAGGCAGCGTTCGCGCGCCCAGTAACGCGCACGCATGCCCATTACTCGGCAGTCAAGCTTCAGTAATGCGTATAGACGTGCACAGTGCGCGTCAACACGCACAGTAATGTCCGTCTAGCAGCCGCGTACACCGCAGCGCATTACACGCCCAGCTGCGTGTCTTGCGACGCCAGTACGCACGCCAGCAGCGTTCAGCGCACACTGGCCAGCAGTCACGCACGCCAACACGCCCAGCAGCGTGCCAACGATGCCCAGCGAGCCTCGGCGATGCCCGGCAGCACGCCCGAGCGCCCAGTCAACCCAGCACGCGTAGCCCGCGTGCCAGTCACCTGATGAGGATCGTGTGTTTCGACTGCCGATAAGCCGCTATCCCGCGCCTTGAATCGCCGATAGTGTTTCTCTAGCCACAACCGCGCCTATTGAAACGATAAAATTGCAATAGTATTCTGGTGAAAAGACTAAAGCAAAGTTGGAAGAACAAAGTTCTAGATTTCTATTGACTTCTTGGATGATTGAATGAATAATAATAACATAGGGGAAGGGGCCTTTATATAGGCACCAACTAGATCTAAGTCTATTCTACCTAGGAAACTAATAAAGTAATAAAATATTAAGTAACCTAAACAATCTAGATATTCTAAAGCAATAAGGAAACTAAATAACTAGGGGATCTTGTGCCTTGACTTGCACTCCAAGTAGGGAAGAATAATCAGCTCAAAAAGACTCCTAGGAATCTTCTTTTCTTGCCCGGCAAGTCGTCCCCGCGCGCTGCCCACCAGCTGGCCTGTGCCCGCGCGCGCGTGCTGTGATGCGGACACGGCGAGAAGACTCAAAAATGCAGCAAGTCGCGCGTGGCATGCGCGAAGGAGGTTAAGTCGTCGTGCCAGCGAGGTGCGATATGCGGACGGAACTATCGGGGACGGATGCAGGTTTGAACATGCAGGCGACGAGGTGCACGCGCATACTTACCTAGGCGCACGAGGATTGGGCAACGCGGACGCGAGCAAGGCGGTTTGGGGCGCAAGCAAGAAATAAATTAAATAGCTTGATTAATATTTTATTTCCTTGTTTTCTAGTTTGTTTAGGATACTTAATATTTTATTGCTTAATAGAGGTATAGTTATATTAGGACTAGATCTAGTTGATGCCTATATAAAGGCCCTTCCTCTTGTTAATTTAAGGATTCAGAAATTAATACAAAAATCCGAACTTTTGTTCA